AGATTGACCTTGCCATTGATGGTGCTGATGAAGTAGATGCTGATCTCAATCTCATCAAGGGCGGTGGGTGAGTGTCGTGGGGACTTTCTTGCTGAAGAGTATCTGCTGGTTAATCCTTAGCAAAGCAGAGTGGAAGGCAGAATAAACAAATGGCCACCGTGATGTATGTGAGCTTGTCTTTCTACTACTAGGAAGTTGGATGGCTGTAGAGAGGGCTTGGCATTTCTAGTCAGGAGTAGCGGCAGTCTGCTGACTAGGAACCCGGGCCTCGCCTCTTCCGTGATATTATTCATCTTAATGGGTTCTCTGTATCTGCTTCCTTTGCTGATTTAAACTTTAAAAACTGTGTGAATTAAACCAAATATATTGTTGGGGCTAGTTTATTAGGTCTGTGGGCATTAGTGTGTGATCTTTGCCTTAAAGCTGCTCTTTCCCTCTGTGAGCAGTTAGTTATATATATTCATTCGTTCGTTTGGAAAACATTTATTGGTGAATGTTTCTTAAATGTTGATTTGGTGGGTAGGGAATGGTGAGTTGAAGAAGGTGAAGTCCTGTTCTTTCGGTTCTCATAATCAAGCAGACTGCAGTGACACAAAATATGTTTAGCATCTCACCGTGCTCTCCAGCTGTCAAATAGTGGACAGACAGGTTGTCCTTCTCATGTTATAGACCCTTCCATTCATGCCATGCTCAGATGACCTTTCCCTGAGCATAGATGCATCTTAGGAGTGTGCCTGGCCTGACTGGGAACCATTTCTCCCGACTCAGGCTCATGTTTTCGCAGTCCATTTACTAGAAGCAACACGTCTTAGCTCAGGCTGCCTTAACAAAATGCTGTAGACTGGGTGGCTTTAGCATCAACAATTTCTCAATAGTTCTGGAGATTCCTGGCTTCAGTTGACTGCCTTGTCACTGTGCCCTCAGGGTGGAGAGAGAGCACGTGAGCTCTCTGGTGTCTTTTCTTCTAACCCAGTAATCCTGTCAGACCAGGGACCCCCTTACAACCACATTTAACCATAATTATTTCCTTGGAGGCCTCATCTTCCAAGTGCACATTGGGAGTTAGGACCTCAATATATGAAGTTTGGGACAGACACAATTTAGTCTGTTGCACAGCATGGTGGAGTTGGGGATCTCCCTCTAAGAATTACAAATTAAATTTCTCGTTAAGTGGATTTGGGTTTACTGTCTCTGACCTTAGTTTTCAAATTGAGTTTGTTTCCTACCCTGTGTTCATTTGCCTCTTCCTATCCCCAGAGGCTGCCTGACCCAGGAGAAAATTGTGGCTGGCTATGCCAGTCGCTTCATCGTGATCGCCGACTTCAGGTACAATGTCGAGTGTTCTGTCCATTGGGGAGGTAGATCAGACCCCAACCTCATCCCCATTTTACAGAGGAAGAAATAGAGAAAGGGAGGGGCTGTCTGACTTTCTGAGACAGAAGGCGACTGAGGGCAGTGTCTTGGAGGATTTTGTTCTTTTTTCATGCTGAAGGTACATATTGTTATGTTATGTGTCCATTGGGAGGAGGAGGAAACAGCTTGTCACTCTCGTGACAAGAGCATGTCCTCATATATCATTCATTTGATCCTTGCAGGGAGCCTCAGGGGAAGGACAGGCCCTGCCCATGGGCAGTGACTCAGCATGCCCTGCTTCCTCTGGGCTCACACATGACCTTTGTTGTGCATAGTCTTTGACCAGGCTCTCAGATTCTCCTTCAAGGAGTCTGGTAGAAGGTGCTTGTGCTAAGCATGTGAATTAAAAAAAAAAAAAAAAAATTGTATTTACTTATGAGATATTATAGCTGTAGAAAGAACATAAATAATGAATACCTGTATAGCCACAAGCCAGTCATACCTAGTTTTAACATTTTTGTCATATTTACTTCAAGTACCTCATTTCTTAAATAGTAGAACATAGCCAAAACATTTGAAGCCCTGTGTTTGTCCCTGCTCTCTGCCCTTGCCCACTCACTATGTCTGAATTTGGTGTTTGTCTATACCATTGAGCTTATTTATATTTATTGTATTTTTTGACTTTCTTCCCAGGAAAGATTCAAAGAACCTCGGGGATCAGTGGCACAAGGGAATCCCCATTGAGGTCATCCCAATGGCCTATGTCCCAGTGAGCCGAGCTGTGACTCAGAAGTTTGGGGGCGTGATTGATCTTCGAATGGCTGTCAACAAGGCAGTAAGTGGCCAGGGAGGTTTCCCAAGGGCATTCCAGGTTCTCGGTGTGGTGTCCTCCTTTTTGCTTCAGTAGGGGTCCTCTGTTGCATAGCCTGGGTAGTCAGCTTTTATGTATGTATTTTTAATCAGATTATTGGTTCATTTTTAGAGTACTAGCTTTATTAGTTTCTATATTCAAACTCATGTAGATATTACCACACTTAATGCTGCACATATTCTCTGTACAAGTGGGGGATTGATTCTTTTTCTCGGTCCCTTGGAGTCTGATGCTCCTCAGGTGATTGGATCTTTGTACCTGCGGTCTGGACTGCAGGGCTTCACGGTGGCTAAAAATGGGCTTTGGGAAGCACCCCGGGGCAGGAAGTTTTCCAGGTTCATGGTGTAATTTTCTTTTCTCCTCTCATTTCATTCTGTTATTAAATGTGACAAGAAGTAGAATTTCCTGGGGAATGTGAACCCCTCCTTAGGAATACGCTCCAGAAACTTAGTGGAAATGTTTCTCTTCAGCTTCTAAAGTGGGCTGCACTTTTTTTTTCCTCTTCCACTTAAATAAACAAACTAGCAAAAGTAATAACCTAGAAACTAACTGTAATTATAGATATAACTGTATAACAGGTTTGGAAGATACAGAAGAGAAAACAAATGATCTCTAACTCTACCCTGATGCATTTTTTATATTGATGTTGTTTTTTGTAAAAACTCAGTCCTAATCCTAGTGGTTGTACAGAACTCTGGAGTCTGGTTCCCTCCGTAGCTGAAGAGCCCGGAGGAGACTATTGGAGAGGGAGGTTCTCTCTCATGGCTGGGGCGACTCCAGACAAGAGCACCAGCATCCTGCCTTCCTGGGGCTCTTCACTGAACTCCCACCCCCTCGCCTCCAGCCTGCAGGAGCGGCCTAGTTTCCTTGCCTGTCACTGTGGTGTTCTGTCAACATTTGTGGTCCCAAATGCCTTCTGGTGCTCTAGGAATTTTGGACTAACTATCTAAAACTACCCCCTGCTTTTTTTTGACCCCAGAACGCAGCTCTGCTTCCTGTTTTGGTGGGAGTGCCTGCTCGGGGAAGTGATAGGGGCGATAGCACTGCCTTATTTTGCATTACTGGGCACCTAATGTGAAGTGGTGAGAACGTTGCACCGTGTGGATCGTCTGCTTTTGTTGCTGTAGTTTTTCTTTCTAACCATAGCTAAGAATCGTTGAGCCCTTCCTGTGAGTCCTCACTGTGGTAAATGCTTATCCATGTGGTTTATACATAAGCTGCCTTCTCAAGTATGTATCATTATCCCCTTTTTGGAGTTGAGGAATCTGAGGCTCACAGAGGTTAATGACTCCTCTGAGCCTCCTCTATATCTGTGTGGCTTCAAGACTCAAATTCTGACGCCAGTAGCACTGCCTTCTAGAAAGCTGAGGTGGGAGTACTGGCTGGAGTGGGTTAGTTAAGATACTTGTCTTTGGGCATCCCCTTCACTTTCCTGCCCGTCTCTGCCTACCTGTATCTACATCCTCTGTAAGTGTGGAAAATTATACCTTCTAGGGTCCTGTGGTGACGGATAATGGGAATTTTATCCTGGACTGGAAGTTTGATCGGGTGCACAAATGGAGTGAAGTGAACACAGCTATCAAAATGATCCCAGGTAATGTGAGTGGGGTTCATTGAGCATAGACACCCAAGCACTTTGTAACTGTCCCCTGCCTCTGGCCATAGGAGGCATGATGGGTGTGGGTTTTGTAAGACTTGGTTGGAAAGAAAAATTTCCTTTGTACCATGCTTGGAGTTTTTGACGTCGTGCCTTTGCTTTCACCCCCCAGGAATAGTTATTGCTTACCTAGTGGCTTGTTGGCTGTGCATTTCACAACTCGTTTCAGTTGGGATAGGCGTGGAGTTGATGGAGTTTCAGAGGGGGTTTGCCTTGAAATAAGCTCATCCTGTCTGCATAGAGCCTTCCCTTCTAGAAGCTTGACTGTAGCCTCTTTCATTTTGGGGGGGCTCTCTTCTTGTGTAGTGGGGGTGTAATGCAGGTGCTGCGCTGCATGTTAATAGGGAATGTTCCCATCCTAGAGCATGGAATCTGCCTCAAGGAGAGTTCACGTATAGCCGGGGAAAGCTGTGCGTGGCTGTGTAGAAGCCATGCCTACAAATAAGCTGGAATGTGCTAAATTTGCTAGAGAAGTACCAAGAGTCTACAGTGCATGTACGTTGCTTCCTTTGGAGAGTGTGGGAAAGTTCCCGGAGGAGAGGTGGCTTTTGACCTATGCCTTAGCATAGTGTAATCTAGACACTGCACTAAGTGTTTAAAAATGTCTCATTTGATTCTCCAGTTGGATGAGATCGTTACAGAGCAGGATAGGGGCATGCCAAGGGCTGCATTGCCAAGAGGGGAGCCCTGGATTGTCTGCCTCTAGACCCTGAACCTTTAGTCCTTCTTTGAGTGCCAGGTTGAGGAGGGGTGGTATGACATGAACAGTTGGGGTGGGAGAGCCTCTAATACTTGTAATAGGGATCTGGGGCCTTGGGTAAGGCTGGGTGGGCAGTGTAGAGGTGAGTTATGCGTCCAGGCCAGAGGAGATAATTGAAGGCCCATACGAGAGGATCAGATGGAGGAAGCAGATGTGAGAGACATCAGTCTTATTTATGGTATTGAGAGCATAAAGGAGTGTTTGCTGAATGAATAAATTCCTAGGAAGAAAGGATAGTATTGTTTGTTGAATGAATAAATCCCTAGGAAGAAAGGATAGTTTTGTCACCATTAATTAAATGTGCTAGATTCTAAGTAATCAATGCTATTTGGGAATGAAAATGTGTGAATATATGCCATGTAATAAGGAGCTAATTCTTCCAACCTTACCTTAGTCTGCTGTTTTAGTCTTAGACTGACAGTGTTGTCACAGATTTATTAATAAGCAAAAAAGAGGAGTTGAATTATGCTTTCTCTCTCACTTAGTGTTCTCATTTAAAAGAAGAAATAATGAGCCGAGAGGGCAAGAGGAAGAGAAGATGGAGGAGAGGCCACTGTTAGTAAAAGGGGAGCATTTGCCCCTGATGATAATGTAGGTAAACCCAGGGGATTGTATAGGAAGCAGCTCACCAGTGTGGGCGCTATTCCTCTGTAGGTGGATTTCTTGCAGTGCCCACTAGGTAGCTCTGTTGCTCCTGCTCAGACCTTTCTTGGCTTACTGAGACATTGAGCTGTCCTTCATGAGGAAGTCTCTGCTATACTTGCCCTCTGCCCCAGTAAGTAGAAGCTACAGCCTAGAGAAGTTCAGAATCTTAGTAGGAACTTAAACTGAAGAAAATGAAAAAAGAGGCTAGATATTAAATCATGCGACCAGAAGCATCAGTGTGGTTCATTGCCTCTCCTGTTTGCTCTTTTCTTTCCCTGATTTGGTCTGTTATGATACTGCTGGACCAAAACCCAGGGAAGGGAAGCAGGGCAAGTTTCCCTGTCATCCCTGTTGCCCTGCCCTTGCCCCACGTACATTTGTGTGTGTGAGGACACTTAGAGTTCAGCTGGACTGGTGCCTGGCTGGTCACTCCCTCCTTTGGATGTTCCATTGGGTTCCACCCAGAACACAGAGATTATAGAAGGGCCAAAGCTCATGGATTCTGAGCCCCATGCTCACAGTGAGCCACCTCTGCCCTTTCACTACTGGGGGTAGTCAGTAACCTGAAGAGGGGGGTACTCTGAGATCAGACCTTCGGCTCCTGCCATTCATCTCTGCTCTCTCTTTGAAGCCTTTTCTGAACCTGGTTTGACTTTCTCTTGGATCAGGCGGAGCTATCACCTATATTACAGAATTGTTGGAATGGATGGGTCTTGCATGGCCACTGTGCTTCCTTTGGGAAGCCTCAGTTGCTGCAGTGATGTGCCAGGGACCTATGTTTCAGCACCTCCTTTCTCTGCTTCATGGCTTTTCCTCACTGATAGATGATTTTATTTGTTATGTATTGGGAGCCGTCTTGCGAAGTTTCAATTTTAAAATCCTTTTTTTTTTTTTTTTAAGATACTATTATTTATTAGAGAGCGAGCGAGCATGAAAGAGAGAGAGAGAGATCATGAGCAGGGGGAAAGGGTAGAGGGAGAAGCAGACTACCACAGAGCAGGGAGCCTAATGTGGGACTTGATCCCAGGACCCTGGGATCATGACCTGAGCCAAAGGCAGATGCTTTAACCAACTGAGCCACCCAGGTGCCCCTTAAAATTCTTTTTAATTGACATTGTTCAATATTACAAGAGTAAACGGCGAAGTCTCTTCCTTCTTCCCTCTACGTTTTCCCCTGTTAGATGGTGCTAAATTGCCCTCCATTATTGCACCAATTTACCCCTCTACTAACAATTTCCCCTACACACTCGTCCATCAGATTTTTTTCCTGATAGTTGAACAGTATTATCTCATTGTGGTATTGTGTATATGTGTAAATATTTTCAGTAAATGTTGCTTAGAGTTGTAGTTAATTTGCATTGCTGAATAGTATTCCATCATAGTTGTGTGTGAAAAAAAAAGTTTGTATAGCCATTCTACTCTTGATGGGCATTTGGGTGTTACCAGTTTTTAGCTGTTAGGAAAAGTGGTGCTATGAACATTCTTGTATACATGTCTTTTGATGACCATGTGTGCCTACCAGTTGCATATATACCTAGGAGTAGAATTGCTGGATTGTTAGGTATGAATATGTTCAGCTTTAGAAGATGTACTAACAAATGTTTTCCTAAGTGGTTTTGCTAGTGTACTACTCCTGCTGTCTATGAGTGGGAGTGTCTTTGCATTCTAGTAAAATTTCATTATATATTCATTCTGGTGAGTGTGTAGTGGTTATCTTGTCATTTTCATTTGCATTCTCTTCACTAATTAGTTTGAGCACCATTCTAAGTTTATTGGCCATTTTACATAGCCTCTTTTGTAAAGTACCTCTTTAAATCTTTGGCCCATTTTTCTACTAGGTTATCTTATTGATTTGGAGAATTATTTATATATTTTGATGCAAATCTTTTGGATATATGCATTGCAAATATCCTCTTACACTCTTAGAAAACTTCTAAGGCTGATAGTGTGATTGAGCATAATTAGGTGTGCAAAGAGCCAAAGCAATCTTGAGAAAGAAGAAGGCAGCTGGCGGTGTCACAATCCCAGACTGCAAGATACACAACAAAGCTGTAATAATCAAAACAGGATGGTACTGTCACAAATATAGACACATTAATCAGTGGAACAGAATAGAAAGCCTAGAAATAAACCCAGGCATCTGTGGTCAATTTAACCTACAACAAAAAAGGCAAGAATGTACAGTGGGGAAAAGACAGTCTTTCAACAAATGGTGTTGGAACAACTGGACCACTTTCTTATACCACACTCAAAAATAAACTCAAAATGGGTTAAATGTGAGACCTGAAGCCATGAAACTCCTAAGAGAAGCAGTAATTTCTTGGACATTGGCTTTAGCAACATTTTTTTCTGGATCTTTTCCCCAGGGAGGGGAAAGAAAAGCAAAAATAAACTACTGGGACTACATCAAACTGAAAAGCTTTTGTACAGTGAAGGAAATCATCAACAAAATGAAAAGGCAGCCTACCAAATGGGAGAACATATTTGCAAATGCTATATCCAATAAGGAGTTAAAATCCAAAATATATAAAGAACTCTTACAACTCAACACAAAAAACTAATAATTTAATTAAAAACTGGGCAGAGGACCTGAATAGACATTTTTTCCAAAGAAGACATAAGGATGGCTAACAATCACATGAAAAGATGCTCAGCATCACTAGTGATCAGGGAAATGCAAATTAAAACCACAAAGAGATACCACGTTACACCTGTCAGAATGGCTAGAATCAAAAAGATAAGAAATAACAAATGTTAAAAAAAATCCAAAAAACAAATGTTGGTGAGAATGTGGAGAAAAGGGAACCCTCATGCTCTCTTGGTGGGAATGTAAATTGGTGTAACTACTGTGGAAAACCGTATGGAGGTTCCTCAGAAGATTAAGAAGTATTACATGATCCAGTAATTTCCACTGCTGGGTATTTACATGCGCCCGTGTTTATTGGAGCATTATTTACAATAGCCAAGATGGGGAGCAACAGAAGTGTCTGTTGACAGATGAATGGATAAAGATTTGGTATATATGTGCAATGGAATATTACTCAGCCATAAAAAAGAATGAGATCGAGCCATTTTCAACAATGTGGATGGACCTAGAGGGTATTATGCTAAGTGAAGTAACTCATAGAAAGACAAATACCATATAATTTCACTTATATGTGGGATCTATAAAATAAGACAGATGAACGAACAAAAAAAACCAGAAACAGACCATTGGTTGCCAGAAGGGAGGGACGGGGGGGATAGGCAAAATAGGTGAAGGGGTTTAAGAAGTATAAACTTAGTTATAAAATAAGTAAATCACGGAGATGAAAAGTACAGGATAGGAAAGAGTCATGATATTGTAATAATTTTATATGGTGACAGATGGAAACTACACTTGCCACGGTGAACATCGTGTAATGTACAGAATTGTTGATTCACTATACTCTATACCTGAAACTTAATCTAGCATTATATATCAACTATACTTCAATTTAAAGAGAAAAGGAAAATAACTGGGAGTGGGGGTTACTTAGAGTAGTTACGGAGGACCTCTCTGAAGAGATGACTTGTCATCTGTATCTGAAGGACAGAGAAGAATCCTCTCCTTGAAGTGCTCAGAGATGACTAGTCCAGCAAGCAGAATAGCATGAACAAAGACCCTGAGGCAGGAAAAAAGTTGGCACATTTGGCTATAGTAGAAAGCCAAGATGGCAGCAGAGAAAGGGATTGTAAGAAGAAATAAAAATAATCTGAATCTCTCTTCATTGTTCTGAGAGAGGAAAGACTTCAGACCTGTCATTTGTCCAGTGCTGCTCATAATAGTTGCATATGATCCTTGACTCTCTTCTTGCCTTGGGAAGCTGAAACTTAATGCTTTTTTCCATCCTTCATCCTGCAGGCGTGGTGGACACAGGCCTTTTCATTAACATGGCTGAGAGAGTCTACTTTGGGATGCAGGACGGCTCTGTGAACATGAGGGAGAAGCCTTTC